TTGCCCAATGTAATACGTCGTTTGATGTCTTGACTGACTGCTGCTTCCGTTGGTGTTGATTGTGGACCAAGTAATACAAAATCTTTAACAACTTTAATCTTTTCTCCATTCATTGTGATGCTGCTTATCGATCCAGTTGTGAGGATTTTTGTTTTCTTTGTGTTGAGATGTAATCCATACTGCAGACTGTAGTCTTCAGTCTTCATCAGTAAGTGCTTCAAGTCATCCTCACTTTCAGCAAGCAAGGTTGTCTAGTTAAAGTGTATTTCTTTTGAAGTTCCGACTCCGTCTGGTGTTTCTGAGTTTCTTAGCGTGGTTGCATTTTGCAAAGGCTCCGATTCCCCTCAGGGCCGTGGACAGGTGGACTTTGTAACTGTTTCATACCAAGCTGCCAGGCGAGGAATTGACCAGTGCCACTGGTTTCCGGCCACTTTGCTGATTGGCCAAAAGAGAAAATGCATGATGTTCGTTTTAGAGCTCTGTGGCAGTACGCTGTGTGTCTGAGTTCACCCAGTGTAAAGACAAGTCTCTGGGGGTCTGCGTTTCACAGTGTCTGATTCTGAATAGTGTCCCTCTTAGTCCAGGGTGGTGAGGGGAGTCAGACATCTTACGAGAGAGTTGCTGAGGAAGGCCTCCTCTGTGTTTCATTCAAGTCCTGTGTTTAAAGAAATGTCCAATAAAGGACAGAGCCCCAGGCTGGGGGAGGAGGGGACGTGTGTTCCTCAGGTAGGTGTGTGATGGCTCCACGAGGTGGAAGGTGGCTCTGTGCTCGTGGTCACATGCCCGGAGCAGGTGCTGGGCTGCAGGCGGCTCTTGTCCCCATGGTGACTCAAGGACCAAGGTGCCTTCCGTTTTTCAGCTCTGCCATCACACAGCCTTTGTCATCAGCGGACCGTCAGGTGCAGGGGAAAACACAGAGGGTTTATGGTTCATGTTCATTTGAGAACATGCTGTCACGTGGCTGTCCCTACCTGCCAGAGATGTTTGGAAACAGGGCCTAGCTTAGTGCCTGAAGATGGGGAAGTGGCTTGGTGGGACAGCTGGCGGTGTGCGCCCTGGCACCACACAGCACAGACTGTTCCCTTGGGCAGCTTATGATGGCAGAGCGGCAGAGGTGTGTGGATTCAGGAGAGGTGGGAAAGGAAAGTGCCCATGAGAATTTGTCATTTCCTCTTGAGCAGGTGCACAGAGCACGTGGGGGTGTCAGCCTCCGACCATCTAACATCTAACATCACCTGGGAGGAGAGGCAGCATCAGCAGCGTCAGCCCAAGGTTGATCGTACGGGGCAGAGGGCAGACGTGCGTCCACCCTCCAGCCTCTTCCAGTTCTGACACCAGCTCTCTCTCCCACGGCTCTCACTTCTTCTCTCCTGGGTTTGATAATTCATTGCAGTGGCCACACACAACTCGCAGACAATACTCAAGATTATGGGGTTTATTAGGGGAGTCATAGGCTACGGTTCAGGTTCAGGAACTCTCAGGTACAATTCTTAGACCAGGACAGCCTCCCCTGGGCCGTGCCCGAAGGCATGCCTTAGGCACTGTGCCCCCAGAGCTCCCGTGTATTGTATAAGGTACAAGGTCGACACATAACTCAGTTTACTGATTTTCCATACTTGAGCGGGGTAACTGCCTGGAACTCAGATGCCTCGGCCTCCTGGCCTGGCCTCGGCCCTGCCTGGGCAAGGGGTACAGAGCTCTCAGCCCGGCCAGGGGGCGCACCAAGGGCGTCTGCCAGGGAGCCTCCTGTCCAGAGGTGCTCAGCTGGCTTGGTTTCTTTCAATTGTGATTTGGGTGAAAGTTTGGCTTCGTTTGGGAACATTGACAGTTTCATGCCACTCGATTGATAGAAATAAAGGAGCATCCAGCTCAGACTGAGTCTTTGCTTGAAACCACGTTGGCTCTTTTGTAATTTATTTCTCAGTAATTCCCATTACACTTTTCTGTTGTACATGAGATTACAAATAAAGACTTGTTACTTTAAATGAGACTTAATTTAACAAAAGGCATCGGGCTAAGTTTGAAACTAGTCCAGTTTTCTGACTTAAGTAGAGAGGACATTACAAATTGTCAGATTGGGTTTCCAGACCAATCAAGTAGACTAATGTGCGAACGTGTCCAGTGGGATGGGGTGGGGGAAGGGATGTGGGTTTCAGTCAGTTACCCCACTGAAGTAGTTAGAATCAGTAAACTGAGTTATTTGGGAACCTTATACATGAGAGCTCTGGTGGTGTAGTGCCTAAGGCATTTGACTGCTAACCAGAAGGCTGGAGGTTCAAACCCACCAGCCACTCCTTGAAAGGAAGATTGAGCAATCTACCTCCATAGAGATACCGCCTCGGAAACCCAAGGAGGGGTCACTATGAGTTGAAACAACTTGACGGCAGTGAGTTTAGAGTTTTACACGTTCTGGGATCAGACTTCCAAAGAGGGCTCTGAGATGGGGCAGGCTGACGTGGCTGATTGGTTTATTGTTTGTGTCCTTCAGGTGACCTTCTTCAGCTAAACCAGCACTCATGGCCCCTTGTGTCCCTGGAGCCTGAACGAGGCCTGTGATGGGGCTCTCCCCTTGTCTCGTGGTGCCCTGTACCGCCTCATCGTGAGCTTTAGTGGGGGTGTGGGGGAGATGTAGAACACGGGGAGAAGTTAGTGGGGTCGCTCCCACAGGGCAGGAGGCCTGCATGGCCACGCTGACACGGTGCAGACGAGGGCGGCCCCCCTCCTTCCTCTTCGCGAGAAGGGAGGTCCACCTTTTCTCCCTTGTCCCCTGGTTCCCTCCTTTTGCTATCTCTTTGTCTGTCTTTCTGCTCATCAGGTTTCTTTCTTTCTTTTTTTTTTTTTTAAAGGATAGACAGGATAATAAAATATTTTTGCTTGTCCTCTTCCACAAATCTGAAACCCACAAAGGCATTTATGTCATTTATGCCTAAGGTTTATCCCCACTGACTTTTTCCAGAGTAGTTTTTCTGTTATGTGTCAGTCCTCTCTGACCTTATTTCCTTTCCATTTGTATTAGAAAGGAGCTCTGCTGGCCCAGTGGGTGAGACATTTATTTGGCCCCAAGGTCATCAGTTTAAACTCAACCATTGCTCAGTTGGAGGAAGATGAGGCAGTTTGCTTGGACAGCCTTGGAAACCCACTGATGGTCACTGTGAGTTGGAATTAACTCACTGGCGGTGGGTTTGGTTTACGGTTTGGTTGTATTAGAAGCAGGCTGCTCTTGGACTGACGTCTCGTTCCTTCCACTAGGACATGTGACCCTTGTCCACCAGCAGCCCCTTCAGGGCCTCCCTCCTGGTCCTTGCCTTGGAAGAGAGACTGCCCGCTGGCCCAGTGGGGTGGGTGGGGGTGGTGACAGCTTCTGTTGCATGGTTTGTGATGTCTTCTGCCCATAATTACCAACCTCCCCCTGACGAAACAGGCAGCTGGGCCTTCCACGCCGTGGGCTCTGCTTCGTGACGTCACACCGAGCTAGTGTCAGAGTACCTCCCGCACGTAGATTCCTCGCCCACAAGGCCCAGTGAGTCTGATCTGGGTGAGCTGTCCAGTGCTTGTCCTGCCTGGACGTGTCGTGTCCTTCTTTGGCTGTCAGTCGGCGTCACCACTATGTCTTTGGAAGCTTCTGAGGGTGGTTAGATGGGGGCCGCTTTGACTACCCTCCGCTTGTAATAACGTTCTTATCCAAAGCTTGTTTCCTCAGGAGTTCTTCTCTGAGCTTCCTTAAAACTCTGCTCATATGTTAGTAGTAGTGTGGTTATGTGTTCAGTGAGGCCCAGGGTTCGACACCTGTGTGGAGTGGACCCTTGCGTGACCCACTGTAGTGCAGTGTGCTTTTCTTGGCTGTAACTGCACTGATCAGGATGACCTCTGGTGTCCAAACCTCTTGAAACAGACGTTCATGAGAGAACTGGACTAAGACCCTCACAGAGCAGGTCTGTGCCTCCTGACCCACCTGGGTTCCATGCAGGTGTTAGCATGTTTTTTGGGGATAGTGATCAGATCAGTGATCAGAGGCAGTACCCTAGGTAGATGGTGACACTGCACCTGATCCACAAGCCGGTGTGGGTGCTTACCCGACCCTGGTCCAGGGGCCTGCAGGGACGACAGAGGGGCGGTGGAGCGGGCATCCGACGTTGACGAGTCCTCTGCTCTTCTGCCGGGCACTGGACACTCAGGCCTCGCTGCTTCCCATCTGTGGCTCAGGTTGCAGTTGAGGAAGACACGAGTCTGTGAGGAACGTGTTCATTGGTCAGAAGTGGCCTTTGAAATGGTCTCTTCGTGGCAGCCTTCCCAGTGTGCACTGGGCTCTGTTGTCTTCCCAGCTGTAACTTGAAGCAGATGAACTTGGTGCTTTCGTTGTTGAGGGAGAGGGCCGGGTGGGAGGAAGGTGCTAGAAGAGCATCGCGTGTGGTGGCATTGTGGGGTGATTGTTTCACGTCTGACTTTCAGGTGCTTTTCCTTATCACTGAGAGGAATTGGTCTCTCTCATTTCTCAGGAGTTGGGTTCTGGAACTGGTGGAGGCTTGACTGTTTTAGGGCTCTCAGTCGTGCAGCTGGGAGGCCTTTGTGCTGGCTGCAGTGACGTTGACGAGTCCTCTGGTCTTCTGCCGGGCACAGGACTCATAGGCCTCGTTGTTTCCCATTTGTGGCTCAGGTTGCAGTTGAGGAAGACAGTAGTCTGAGGAACATGTCTTCCGTGCCTGACCGGAGCTTCCTCTCTCCTCCAGCATTAAGCCCAGCGGAGCATGATGGTGGGGTTGCTTTCTCAGGTCAGAAGTTTTACTTTAGAGCATTGTCAAGTCAGACCTTTTTTTTGCTATCAATAAGTCTTATCTTTTCTCCTGAGAAAGCAAAAAGTCCTACCAGTTTAGCTTATTACAGGGTATTTCGTCGATTCAGTGTGAGGGTTGTCCGTTAGACTGGCACTGCCCTGGAGTTTGATGGAAACGAAGGTGTGAGCTGACCTTTGACACGCCCCTCTGCCTTTTGTTTAGACCAGCATGTTTTGGAAGTTTGACCTCCACTCATCATCCCACATAGACACACTCCTAGAGAGAGAAGACGTGACTCTGAAGGAGCTGATGGATGAGGAAGACGTTTTGCAGGAGTGCAAAGCTCAGAACCGCAAACTTATCGAGTTTCTGTTAAAAGCAGAATGTCTGGAAGATTTAGTCTCATTCATTATAGAAGAACCACCTCAAGACATGGATGAAAAGATCAGATACAAGTAAGAAACTTCATCTTCCCTTCAGGGTGGGAGTGCGGTGGAGCAGGGCTAGCACGGCAGCACGCTTGTCGGTGCCCCAGTGCCGCTGTCCGCCATCCCAGAGTCGGGTGCCAGGACTGACAGGCATAGTGGAGACGCGGTCCAGTCACTAGGATGAGTCATGTGAAGCCACGACATTTTAAACAACAACAACAAAAAAGCAAGAGTCATTTAAAATCAGTCGGGAGGTGTCGGGGCGCGGGGCGGCAGCAGAGTGCTTTCTAACAGGGAGCTCCACGTCGTACATACAGGGAGCAGTGGTGAGGCCACCCCAGTGCAGCATGTCTCAGTCAGAGCGGGGGCCAGGAAGCACTTGGCTGGTACAGCAACCCTTTGTTGACTGCGAATAAGGGGTCAGGCTCTTGGTGGGCATTAGTGGAGTTAAATGTAAGTGGCTAACTGCGTGATGACTGCAGTGGGCATGTGTGCCCATCACTGGCGTCATCTGTTAGAGGCATGACAGCAGTGACTGGAGAGTCCTTCCTCACAGTTGCTCAGCGCGTCCTATCCAATCCTGGTTACAAAAAGCCATTAAGTGCGTTGAACGGCCTTGGTAATGGCATTAGGTGCATTTGGTGGCATGGGCAGTGCGGCTTTTTGCAGAGTCACCTTTGCCCCTTCTCCCTTCCCCACTTCTCAGACATCTTTTCATCTCTGAGGGAGATGTCAGGGCAGTGGTGCTTAGTAAAGCTTTCAAGTGGCTGGTGCGTATGTCTTCAGGGAGGTCATGTTCTCTGCCAGCCGTTAAAATTGACAGCTAGCATTCTGTGAAGTTTCAGCTTAGGGACCAGGACCCTAACAAAGAAGAAACAAATTGGGCAGCAGAAGTTCCCACAGGTGTTAGAGGGACTATGGCCTGCCTGGGATTGCCGCCCTGGCGCCTGGGTGAAGGCCTCCGGACAGGACTTGTCCTGTAGGAGGTGGTGTGCTGTAGGTGCCAGAGCTGGGCCCCTGAGCAGGCAGCCCTGTGGGGATGGCCTGGACGCTCCCTTATACTCTCTGAGAACTTGGCAAGTTCCTTCACCACGTTGGTCTGTTTCCTCAGTGGCGAGTGAGGCAACGTCTTTACCTGGCAGAGTCGGCACGTTTTACGTAAAGTGCTCAGGCTACAACCCAGCTCATTACCGTCAGGTTGACCTTGACTCATAGTGACCCCCATTAGGTTTCTAGGCTGTAAGTCTTTATGGAGGCAGACCACCCCATCTTTCTTCTGTAGAGTGGCTGGTGGGTTCGAACCACTGACCTTTTGGTACCAGTCAGATCCTTTAACCACTACCCCACCTCCCAAAAGAAGTAGTTTTCTTCTTGCTTCAACATAGCCCGGCATTTTCGTATGCTGCCTTTGAAGGTGCGTGAGCAGACAGACCTCATTGGACACACAGCCTCTGGCTGACTGCGTTGGGAAGGTGTGACTTGAGCGGACAGAGGTCTGGTGTGTCTCTGGCCTCGACAGCGTCACTGACATGCACGGTGTTAGCTTAAGAGATAGCACACACAGGTCCTTTCAGACAGAACCTGAGAGCTCTGCAGAGTTAGGGTCGGGGCCACCCGAGGAAGCTGAGATTGGCATCTGACAGCCTCGGGAATGACTGCTGTGTGTTGCGAACTTCCTGGTTAGACAATCGGGACACCTGTGGCTCGAACCCACTGCTCTTTTAACTGACTTCTCAGCAACCAAGGTAGTAGAGGGTGGCCATTTTAATCTCAATGGCAAGTGGCATCTTTCATTTTAAATAAGTTAATAGAACTTTTAAAAAGTTGGTCATTGATGCTACAGATCTAAAAACTAAGACTTGGAAATACTTTTAACCTGATGTGTGTCAGGGTGGGTGGTAGACCAGGCACCACGGGGTTGCTGGGGGCAATTCCTTGATGGACGCACATTTGTGAGGCCATGTGCAGCAGCCTGGCTGGGCCCTGGCATTGCAGCCTGGTGGGGGGGCTGCATGGGGGGAGCCTGCTGTCAGGGGGGTTTGCCAGAGGGATGCTGATAGTGAGGCGCATCAGGGAAGGGTCATCAAGCAGATGCCGCCTGCTCAGAGGTCAGGGAGTGAGGGAGGACACCATGTGGGTTCAGGGAAGGGGCACTGTAGGTGGAGGGGCCCTCAAGAGTAGGAGCCCTGGAGTGTAGGAGCTGCTGGAGGCCATGGGCAGCATGGGGAGTGGAGGGGGTGAGGTAGGGGTGGGGTGGGGAATGGAGGGTGAGGGTGGGGGGAGTATGGGGAATGGAGGGGGTGGGATGGGGGCAGCATGGGGAATGGGGGGCAGCATGGGGAATGGGCTGTGTGTTTGGAGCGGCAGGGGTGAAGGCCTGGTTGGAGTGTCTAGGACAAGTTGGAGGCGGAGCAGAGACAACTCCTTGAAATAGCTCTCTGTACAGGGAGCAGAGAGAGAAGGGGGTGGGGGGGTGTTTTCCGTGGATGAATGAAACGGCATGGTGTTAGCTGGTGCGAGTGCTGCTGGACGGAGGGACACAGCTGCTGACACAGCTGGTGACAAGGATGCCCGGCCGTCCTCTCCACATTCTGCATCAGAATGCCAGCACCACCGCCAGCGAGTGTTTGATTCACAGCCGGATGGAGAACTGCTGCCTTTGACTAACTGTTCATTTGCCAGCAATTTTCAGATGGGACCAGTTGAGGAATACCCTTTACTGTGAAAGAGTAGGATTTCTGCCATTTTATAGCAGAAAACAGAGAAACCAAAGCAGCTAGCGGGCGTGCCAGGCTTCCTCCCACGTTTTGCATGTATTCTCCCCCATGGGAGATAGGGCCATTGTCCTGACACTACAGGTGAGGCAGCGGAGGCTGACTGACTGAGGGGTTGAGGAACTTGCCCGAGCGCACAGCGTGTGCCACATTCTGCGCATCTGTGGCACACGTTGTATGGGTTTTTCTTTTACAGCCCACACAACCTCCACACACGTTAGTTTCCTGTGAGCACTAGGTACCGTATATGCCTGGGTGCATTATTGACGTGGGTGCGTCATACGCAGGAAAATACAGTACACGGTGGAGGCAGGTTTTGAACCCAGGTGTGGCTCAGTGGTTAATCGCTTGGCAGCTAACCCGGAGTGTGGAGGTTTGAACAGCAGCTGCTCCACAGGAGAAAGATGTGACAGTCTGCTTCTGTAAAGATGACCGTCTTGGAGACCCTATAGAGCGGTTCTCTGTCCGCTGGGGGCGCTGTGAGTCGACATCACTGGGTTTGGTTCTTCCTTGGTGTGGCTTCTGCTCCCGACCTCTGACCACTGTGCCACCCTGCTCCTGGGGGGATGGTGTGGCTGTGAGCTCACGTGCTCTGTGTGGGGCCCGTGACATTCATCGAGCCACACACCACAGGAGACAGCTGCTGGGCAGTGTGATCATCAGGCCGCCGGTGCCTATTCCTTTCTGTGCAGTCTCTTCCCTCCCCATGGAGGTTCCTTTTGGGACAGTCTTCTGCTGGCCAGCCTCCTGCCCTCACTCTAGACCCTCTTAGGTGCTGTGGCTTTCTGGGTGCTTGCCAGTTGCATTCTGAGCCAGGGCAGTCTCAACACGGGAGCCCTGGCATCGGAGCACCTGTGCTGTGCCGTGTAGGCGCCTACCCGCAGGCCTTGCCTCTCTGCTCACAGTTGCTTGTAGCTGTTCTGCCACCTCCCTGTCTCAGTCAGCACTGGTGCCTGCTGTTCCTGATGGCTAGTTGGGGTTCTGGACGCTGGCTGCTACTCTGGGGAGGAAAGGGAGAGTGGAAAAGGGCCCTGTGGGTCAGGTGGAGGCCCAGGGAGGCAGGCGTGAGGGCCACTCTCTCTGTGAAAGCCACAGCTTTCTGCCTCGGGAGTTCAGGCTGCGGTCTGCTCTCCCCTCAGCGTATTAAGAATATTTATTCTTTTAAAATGGAAAAGACACTGAACACTTACTTGGTAAGCCCCCCAAAACATGAGGTACCATTTGTAACCCATCTGAAAACAGAGTTGGCCACCTGGGTGTCCACAGGTGCTGGGTGCAGCGTAGTTTCCCAGGGAAGCTCAGTAATTGCCTGGTGGGTGCTGCACCCAGCAGCCCTGAGGGTGCCGTGTCCCGGCTCCCTCTCCTTCTTGCACTGCCTTCCCAGACGCTGCCCTGCAGCCTCCTGCGGCTCCTGAGGCCTGGTGCTCACCGGTTTCTTCCACTGGGGAAAGGGGCTCCCCTAAAGGCTTAGTTTAGGAGTCATGTTCTGTTCACTTGAGAAAATTCACTTCAGTCGGGACAGAGGGCACTGAACTGGGGTCCTGATTGCCAGAAGAGGGTTTGTAGTTGTCACAAGGTCTGTGCTGTAGTTTGTTGTAAAGCTGGCTTCGGTGACAACATGCATGTTCCGTTCTTCCAGGTACCCGAACATCTCGTGTGAGCTGCTCACCGCCGACGTCTCCCAGATGAACGACCGGCTGGGGGAGGACGAGGCCCTGCTCGTGAGGCTGTACAGCTTCCTCCTGAACGACTCGCCCTTGAACCCACTGCTCGCCAGTTTCTTCAGCAAGGTGCTAAGTATTCTCATCAGCCGGAAACCGGAACAGGTAAATACTGTTTTCCACGGGTAAGTGTTAGGGCCAGTCATCCCTGACGGTGGCCCAGAATCTGTCTCTGACTTTACTGCGTGCCTGGGCGCCATCAGAAAATAGGCGGCCGCAGGAACATCCTTGAGCGTACACCAGTGTAGCACCTGAGTGAAGTCAGTGCTGCCCCGGGCCATGTCCGCGTCCCTGGGCCTGGAGTCTGCACATCTCTCTCCGTCTCTCACTGTGTGTCGGCACACTTGGTTCTCTCTTTGGTGCTTGCCGTTCCTGATGGCTGGTTGGCTTCTGGACGGTGGCTGCTACTCCAGGGAGGAAAGGGACAGTGGAAAGGGGCCCCGTGGGTCATGAGTAGTCAGAAGCATGAGGGTGTCGGGAGCCTATTTGGTGACAGTAGCCTCTGGCACTCACAGGTTGGAAGTGTCAGTCGAGTCTCAGTGAGGCTTTGGTGTAGTAATAATTTTTATTCCTAATGACTGTAAATGAAACTTAAAAAGCTTTCCCATAAATGTAACTGATGATTGGTTCTGTAAATGGTGATCATTTGTATTTTGATTCTACTCAAAAATGTGGATGCTTCCCTCGGAGCACCTGAATGTGGACTGGCGCCCACAGGCACCTCTGCTTGTCGCTGTCCAGGGGTGCTGGGCCCGTCCCTTCCCGGTATCTCACAGGCGTGTAGTCACCACCTGTTTCTCCTCTGCTTTGGGCTTCACTCAGCTGTGCTTGGGGGTTAGTTGCCCTTGGTCGTCTGTTGTCCGTGTGCTGGGCCCAGAATGTGGCCGTGCCCCAGCAGCCACTGAGCGTTTGTCAGTGGTGCAAGTTCATGGACCACGCTGCAGACCAACGAAGCAAAAACTCTGGTGGGGGGTGGGTAGGACCAGCAGTCTGGGTTATTAACAAGCCTTCCAGACCACCGTGGTGCACGCTGTAGCTTGAGAACCGCCGGTCTTGTGGGCGTTGGTGTGCAGAAGGCTCTGCTTGGAGGGGTTTGTAATCCATTTGAGGGAGCAGGCACCAGGGGGCACCTGCAGCCTCAGGTGCTCGGTGCAAACTGCACCACCGTGCCAGAGCCGCGCAGGCAGAGCCGTGTTCAGTGGGTGAGGTGCTCCAGCCTGGCATGCCCAGCTTCCTGCCTGTTGGCACACAGGCTGAGGTGACCTGTCCTTCCTTGCTCCCAGCAGACGTGGAGGGTTTAGTACCATTTTAGGGCGGTATGTTCTGTCCTTGGAGCTCTGGTGGCATGGTGGTTAACATGCTCAGCTGCCAACCAGAAGGGCGATGCTTTGAACCCACCAGCCTCTCCGTGGGAGAAAGATGAGGCTGAGGCTGGCTGCTGCCATAAAGATGACAGCCACGGAAACCCTGGGGGTCGGTTCGGCTCTGTCCTGTGGGGCTGCTGTAAGCAGGAATTGACTGCACGGCAGTGGAGTGTTCTTCTCGGTTCCGTCCTGTGTCAAGGTGAAGTGGTGCGTGTTTTCTTTCAGAAAGGCTGTGGTTCTGTCATGCCCTCAACTGAACAGGATCTCCTTCCTAAAAGTCTACTGGAGGTAGGGTTTCTCTTTAGATGATCAAGCATCGCAATTCCTGTGAAGCACCATCTCCTGATCCTGTTTTCTGAGAGTCTGTGACGACCAGCCCGTCCTCAGCAGTGGTGGTCATCATTGTCGACACAGGCCTTAGGTCCATGCATTTCCTCCTCATTCTGTGTTGTGTGGACCCAAGGCTGTGGGACCCGGTGTTGAGTCTACATTCAGCTATAGAGCAAGAACCCTATGACAGCTCTCTGGGGTCTGACGGCTTATGTTGGCCCTCCAGACCAGACATTAGCTGTGGAACACGATGGCAGGTGCCAATTGAACTCTGAGGAAGGGGCCACCCTGCTGCTGTTGTATTTCTCAGTCCAGGACTCAGGGCAACTTGCTCTCTTAGGGTCAGGGAATGAATGGTCTGTCCTTTGAGAATTTCCTGTGTCAGTGAGGATTTCCAGCTACACGGTGTGGAAGGGTGTGTGCAGCACAGGTAACAAGGATATCCCGACTCATAGCTTAATCGGTGCGCATGCGTGTCGGCCCGCAAAGAAGAGGAAGCTTGTTGTAGGGATCGTTACCGCTGATGATTCAGCACCTCAGACTCCGACACTCACCAGGCAGGTGCTTTCTGTCAGCTGGGCTCCACGCCCGCTTTCGTGGCCAGCGTGTGATTGTGGTCAGGTGTGGCTTTTTCTTCCCGCTTTCTCTGCTGTCCTTTCTAAAGGAACGTGTGTTGCTTGTGATGGATTCATTGTGTGTGACGTGTTGAAGGCTATGCTGTGTGTTTAGCCTGACTGCCTAGATAAGCCATCTGGGAGGGTCAGTCCTCTCTGTGTAAGCAGTACTGCTTGGGTTTCCTTGTGTGGAATGGGGGAGGATCCTGGCGTTTGCGTTCTTCTCAGATGAGCAGCTCCTTGGTAGCTCTTTGAACCTGGTCGAGTCTCACTTTCCTCACCTGGGCATTAAGCCGCTCAGCTCCGCCTGCAGGTGGTTGAGACTTCAGTTGCCACCTGGCTGCTCCTGGGACTTGAGGGGTGCAGCTTCCACGCTGGCCGTCCTGCTTCCTGGGAGTTGGGCTGGGGTTTGAGTAGACAGCACTAGTGCACGGATAGAAAGCAAGGGATCCAGGATGGAAATGAGGGGGCCCGCTAGGGCGCAGGACGGCATGGCCCTCTCTTCTCCAGTGCAGAGCAGTCCTGGAGACAGACTTTAGAACGGAAGCTACCACTTCAGACACCCTCCCTGCGCCTGTCAGCCTGTCCCCTGTCCACCTCCTTATGGGAATCTAATCGAGGGAACTCCCAGCGTAAACCCCCAGCGTGATGTTTGTGTAGCAGGCGAGTTAGCGACTTCATATGAAGTAGAAATCTTAATGTTTGGAATGTTTTTTTTTTTTTCTTTTACTTGGTAGAATATAATTAAGATTTGTAAAACATCTGCATTATGGTTTGAAGTTTAACGGACTTGTCTTATGTCTCTAAGTCGTTAGCTCATGTATTCTCTTGCTCTTTCTAAGGCGTATTAAAGTTTTGAGAATTAATAGCGGAAGTGAATAGAATGAGAGGTTACTGGGGTCCGTTCCTGTCGAGGGGGTGTGATGATTTGGGGAATTGTTTCTCCCAAGAGGGTGCTTGACCATGGAGACTGTTAGCTACGCTTTCCAATTTCCCATTTTCCTCCTAATTCAGAATTTGCCACTGTTGGGGTTTGGGAGTGGGGAGGTGTAGAGGTATCAGGGTTTACAGCATTGGGAAGTTGATGGCTCCCAGGTTGCAGGTCTTTCCATTTCTTGGCTGTTCTCCCTAGATCGTGGATTTCTTGAAGAAGAAGCGTGACTTTGTCGACCTTCTCTTGAAGCACATAGGAACCTCTGCCATCATGGACTTACTGCTCAGGCTGCTCACCTGCATTGAGCCTCCACAGCCCAGGCAAGAGGTGTTGAATGTGAGTAGCTGACGGCCTGTCGCTCAGGGCCCAGGTGGGGGCCTGTGCAGACCCGACTGCAGGCGCCGGGCGGACGCCGTGCATAGGGGCGGCGTGGGGGTCTGGGGACAGGGACGGGCTGGAGAAGGAAGGTTGTTGCGAGGGAGGAAGAGAAGGTGGTGTCGCAGGCCCAGGATTTGAGTGTGTGCCTTCCCCAGGCGTGGGCTGTGTGGCGTCCGTGCTCGTCCGCTGTGGCTGCTTTGTTCCTTGTGGGGCTGGGATGGCTTGGGGGCTTCTCATAAAGCTGGCTCTGTGGTAGGAGCCCACATCAGAAGGTGAGGGGCTCTGAGTCTCTTCAGGATGCACATGCGGGATGCTGCTTCTCGCCAGACATTAAACTAGGGGAGGGGCTCTTTCCAGGGGGTCGGCTTCAGATGGCACCCCTTCTCCCAGCTGCTTAGGGGCAGGGCTTGGAAGGCAGATGGAGCTTCCTTCTACAGCAGCACTTGCTTTATGACTTAGAGAGGCGGTCCTTCCCCGCTGTCACGGGCAGGATGTGGGCACGTGAGAGGCAGGTGGGAGTGCCCTGTGGATGGGGTGCCCTGCAGGCTCTTGGCTCCTCCTTCTCACCCTGCCTCTGTCTCTTCCTTGCGCCCCTTTTCCGTTCAGTGTCTTCTAGAGCCATTGCCAGTCCGTTCCGTCTTTAGTGCTCAGCCTAGAACCTTAGAATGAGCTGAGTTCTGTTGACAATGCTCATTTTAAGTAAAGCCCTGAAGGACCAGGTGGTAGAGAGGCAGGGGTGTTCCACTGGGTGGGAGGTACGCCAGGGCATGCGTCTCTGAGTGGGAGCGTTGGAAGGGGTGACCCAGACCAAAGAGGTTTGCCTGAGAACTGCGGTCCCTGTGAGTGAGGGCAGGGGTAGCCTGTGGGGAGGGGCCTTAAATGGGACGGCCAATCCCATCAAGTGGGTCTTTGCTGACAAGGGCCTTTCCTCAGAAGAGACTGCGGATTCTAGGGAGGGCTGCTGGGATGAGGGGGAGGGACATCTTTACACCTGGATTCTCACCACGACATTGTTGTCTCTTGGGAAATGGGTGTCTGCTGGAGGCTGGAGGTTGCTTATGTCTTTGGTCACTTCTGGGTTGAGTTTCAGGGCACATTTCCCAAAAGACATGTACTCCTGGGGGGACATTGTGAGGTTAGTCTGTGTTGGGTGCTGTCAAGTGGGCTTTGGCTCATAATGACCCCACGTACAACAGAAGGAAACACTGCGCTGTCCTGCACCGTCCTTAGAAGACTGGCTGCACCTGAGCCCATCCTGTAGCCACCGTGACAGTCCGTCTCCTTGAGGGTCTTCCCCTTTTTCACTGACTCTCCACCTTACCAGGCATGCCACCCTTCTCCAGGAAATGGTTCCTCTTACAACACAACCAAACTTAGGTCAGATGAAGTCTGGCCATTCTCGCTTCCAAGGAGCATTCCGACTGCACTTCGAGGACAGATTTGTTTTTCATTATCAACACTATAATAAGGCATCAACTCTTCTTCAGTCTTTCTTTTTCGTTGTCCAGATTTCACATGCACATGAGGTGATTGAAAGTACCATGGCCTGGGTTAGGCGCACCTTAGTCCTCAAAGGGACATCTTTTCTCTTTAGCACTTTAAAGAGGTCTTTTGCAGCAGGTTTGCCGGTGCGATACGTTGTCTGATTTCCTGACGATACCATCTATCAAGAAGTCAGGGTTTGTTAGTGATCCATGAACTCCAGCCTTGCCCCTGGTGGATTCAGTGGAAGCGGCATTTCACCAGCCCCGGGTGACGGGTGTGCTCAGCATGCTTTAAAAGGCAGCGAGGGGCTCTGCTTTGCGAGGCCCCCTGACAGCTGCATTTGGTCCTACCTTTCATTGCTGTGTCCCCTGAGAGATGGAGACGTGTGTCAGGGTTTCTCTCCACCCCTCCCACCTCCATGCATCTCCTTTAGCTTTTGGGGCCTTCCGTGCCCCTCGCAGGTAGTGAGCCACCTGGTTTGCTGTGGCGCGTCAGCTCCTCGGGAAGTTAACATTAAGCCTGTGGTCCGCCCAGTGTCGATTCCAGGAGGACTGGGCTCAGGTGGAGCCCTCTGCTTGTCTCTTTGCCTTGGGGTCCTTTTACTTCCAGTAGCACGTTTCCTTGAAACGATTCCTCCCGAGAGCTGTTACACTGTGGGGAATTGCAGTCAGTGTCATGAGACAAAATGTGTATGAACTGCTTATGGAAAACGAATTCGCTTTGTCAGTTTTCACTGAAATCACAGTAAAAATTCAAACAAGCAAACGATTCCTCCCGTTTTTCTCCCTTTACTCACTTGAAGTTCAGTAATTCCCCAAGACCATCACCTGAAAATGTTACTGTTTTATTCCTCAAAGCCAACAATGCCCACAGAGCAGGAGTGCGTTCAGAGCCATGGCAGGACGCAGTGAGCTCTGCTTCGCTCCCTCTCCTCCCGCCCCCATGTTTTCGGTGGTGGTTTCGGTGCTTTCAGTTTGGGAGTTGAAAAGCGACTGGGTGTTGGTTGCGTGTTTTCCTTAACCCAGCAGCTTGAAGCTAGGTATTGCTTTTCTGTTATCTCTCAAGTTCAGGATGTAAGTTCTCTTGTAGGAAATTGATAAGTTCTACCCTTTCATATCACCCCCCGCCCCAACCAAGATAGAGACCCTTTTCTTGCTGAGTTTGAGTGTTAGCCCAGGATTGAGAAGCTGCCTGTAGACTTAGGATGGTGGGCTTGGTCATTGGGGAGTGGTAGGTACTGCTGCCTGCGGTTAGAATCCTGCAATCAGTGGCTTTCTCCTGGGGGGACTTGGAACGTTACGTGGTGTCCACGGTGCAGAGAACCCTGTGGCATTCCACTAGACAGTGGTGGGTGTCTCCTGGCCTGTGTGTCTCCCTGGGCCTCACGGCAGGCTGCTCGCTGCTTGACCCCTGGTTCTGTGTGTCTTTCAGTGGCTGCACGAGGAGAACATCATCCCGAGACTGGTGGAGATAGTTCACCCAGCACAGGAGGAAGATGTAAGTCAGCGGCTCGCGGGTGCCTGGGGCCTGCTGTGGGCGTGGCACGCAGCGCGGGTCGGGCTGCGAAGCTTGTCATGGCGGATGGGGAGAACAGCGGGACTGTGGCAGTCCTGAAGTTGACAGCTGTCTAACACTTACAGGTTTACAAATGGGACAGTTTGCTAATATCCAGAAAATTTCCAGAAATATGGGACAGCTGGCCCTGCTCTAAGACTGCCTCCTTTCTAGAGCTGGCATTTTGTGCGGGCCCTCCTAGGCCTTGTCACAGTGTCTCCCATCAGCGCTTGTTTCTCTCGTGCCCGTCTTCAGCCCCCACAGCATGGCTCCTCCTGGCAGCTGTTGTGTTTGTTTTGGTTGGAGCTCTCCTGGCCCCAGAGTGGGTGCCTGCTCCCTAGGTCCAGTGCCAGGCTCTGACCTCCAGCCTCCGTCCTGGGTGCCGTGATGAGCAGCCTGTCGGGAGAAGTGAGCTTGGTTTGGGGTTTGCAGGTTGAGTGTGTGCTCAGGGCATGCCTGGCGGGCACCTTTGCCGGCAGGGGCGTATGTCTGCACAGAGCAGGCAGGCCCGGGGCCGCTCTGCTGCTGCCGTTTCCACCTTCAGTAGCAGGCGAAGCTGGATGAAATGATCAGAGTCAACCGTTGTTCCCTGCAGACGGCACAGTCCAGACCCTGACCTACGAAGCCACTGGTTTGAGAGAGAGGCAGGCTGTGATGGGCACAGGTCCTCGTTGTACGTCTCTGGGATGCAGGTCAAATTGGAGAGAGGCTGAGCAGAGTGGAGGAGACGAGCAAAGCAGGAAGGGAACATCGGGATACGCTTGCTCACAAAAGGGAGCGTCCACTCTGGACCACTCAAAACCTTTTCATACCTGGGGGTCATCTAAAACAGCCTTTCCAAAAAAAAAAGAAACCTGACTGTTAAAGTGACTGATTCCTGCTCTTCCCCCAGAGAGTGTGCCATGTGCTACCTGGTGACCGTGGTGACTGTTGCCACACTGAGTTTAGCTTCAGGGAGCTGTGACTGATCTCTCGAGGGATGCTACTGTCAGAGAAGCCCTGCTTAGAAGGGGCCTGCTGTGCAGTAGGGGTAGTCAGGCCTGCCCCTGTGGGCGAGGCCAGTCGTGATGGCCCAGGGAGTGGGGTACTTCCAGGCCCCGTGGCCATGTGTGGCTGGCCAGCCGTGGAGGGAGTGATAGGAGCGGGACGTGCAACAGGGAGGAAGCCAGGATCCAGGCTGCTCTGCACATTGTTGAGCAGAAGAGCTTGCCAGCTCAGCAGGACGCTGTACCTGTCTGCAGGGCCCCAGAGGACCAATGAAAGACAGCGCTCACTGCTTCCTGCTTGGCTCACAAACTCGCTGTGGCTTTTCGACAGTCCTGTTGATACTGCTGCTGTTTGCTATTGAGTGACAAGAAGCATGTCAAGACTGTGCGGCCGGTTTGTATTGCTAAGGAGCTGTGAGGCTCTTGGTTACGAGCAGTGGGTTCTGGGGTACTGGCGTGTGTTGTCGTCTCCGGTGCAATGTCATTGTTCTGCGTGCTCCAGGAACACAGGCTCAGTCTCCCAGGCCACAGGGGCAAGTGCAGATTTTAAGTGCTTTGCTGTGATTGTACAGCTTGTACCTATTGCTGTATTCCAGAACATTCTATCTGCCTTTTTTTTTTTTTCTTTTTTTTTTTTAAATATCAAGTATGTACATCTTTGTATACTGATAAAAGTATACAATTTTGGGGTATGTTTTCTCGAAGTATCAACTAGGAAAAATTTCCTTGTCAGAATTTCCTTGGATCTCCCCGCACAGAGTGGCATGGTGAGCACCGTTGTTTAGTAAAGACCATTGGTCTGATGAGGTGGGATACTTAGACTTTATGTGCTTTTTCCTTTGGGGCTTGACTTCCAACTCCCTGACGCTTACAGCCAGTGGTGATTTGTGGTTTTAATACGCCATTTCTTTCCCTGTGTTCTCCGATAAATTTAACTTCTCATGTGTTTCATAGCTACCTTCTTCTTTTTCCCTCTAGCGGCACTCAAACGCTTCCCAGTCACTTTGTGAAATCGTTCGTCTGAGCAGAGACCAGATGTTACAAATTCAGAACAGTACAGAGCCAGACCCCCTGCTCGCCACTCTAGAGAAGTATGTTGCAACCTGTTCTTGTTCTTTTCCTTGCATTTTTATCTGATGTGCTGATGTTGAGTGGTCAGTCAGTGTTTCCGTGGTTTGGAGTCACATCTCTGGAAAACAGCCATGACTGGAGCGGAAGGTACGGAGACCTGCTTTTCTAAACCGGCAGCTTGTGATGCGGTAGGAACTGCAGGGTCAGACGGGGACGTGACATCTGTGTGTGGACCGTGACTCCAGAGCCTTCTGAGATGCAGTAGTCACTGCCTCCAGAGGGCGTCGGCTGGACGACGGTCTGGAGCATGCGCCAGCCTGACCTGTTTACAGGCAGCAGTTGTGTCGGGAGCTCTTCTGGGCTTCAGACACCTTCGCTGCTGACGAGGGGCGAGCTGGGCGCACCTGCTTTGAAGGGTTCCATGTCTTTGTGCTGCCTCTGCCCTTCTCCTCAGTCCTCATCAACAGGGACCTCACATTGAGTTGGAGGACAGCTTGGAGGCCGGGTGCTTTGGAAGTTTGTGAATGGCCAACCTGTGCATGTTAGTTTTTTAGATTCGCACATTTTCAGAAAGAGTGTTTGCCTTCACGCGTGGGCATCCTTCTGCTTCACTGTAAGGTGAGGTACTCGTTTGACCTAAGTTATGAATTCAATCGTGTCTCTTAAAAATACCATACTTTTTCCATATAACACACCCACACAGTGCATAGGAAATCAGCAGGGGAGGGGTTGTGTGGTTTGCCAGAAACAGCAGATATGCACCTTCAGTGTGTGAAAATACGGTATGTGCGGTAAACCCATACCCCCGGGGCTATGGTTTTAGCCACATTCCCTGTGGGATGGTTGTCTTTGTTAGTTAATGAGATGGGGTACTGTGGGGTGCATCTCAGGCGGTCTCTTAAGATTAATAAAAGATATGCACCCCAAGCTAGCGCACAGAGGGGGAGGAGAGATGCCAGGCCACGTGAGGGTCATCCAGGAGCAGAAGGGCCTTCCTCCGGAGCCGGCAGAGAGAGAAGGCTGGAGCCAGCACCCTGCATTCAGACTCCCAGCCTCCTGGACTCTGAGAGAACACATTCTGCTTGTTAAAGGCTGCACGCGTGGTGTTTCTGTTACGGCAGCACCGGAGAGCTAAGGCATCCTGTCTCCAGCTGAAGGTTTTCGTGAAGGAGCAAGTCGGGCAGTCCCGGCTTCAGTTAACGATCGGACTGGCTTCGTGCAGTCAGCATAGTTAATCTGAACGGCAGGCTTGCCGCACTTTGTTGGCTGGCGGTGGCATACACTTGCCTTGTGAGGTAGTGACTCCTGCAGACCTCGTTTCCCTCCTGTATGCGGAGGCTGTTTTCTGTCTTCTGGCTTGACTCCTGGGAAAGCCCTCTTATTGAAGACCGTTGGTGTGTGTGATTCCATGGCATGTAGGAGCCGGGCAGGGCACAGATGGACAGGGGCCAGCTTGTGGGCTCTGTCCTCTGAGAAGTTGGGTCCCCCTGGCATGTAATGGGAAGGGGTGGAGGTCATGGAGGTGGTGGCATTGAGTGGTAAGCAGCTGCTGACTACAGGTCATTGTTTCTGCCCTGTTTTGCTGTTCCTGACCTGTGACACGCGCATGCTTACACGCTGGGCCGCTCCTCGTTAAGATACTAATAGCTGCCTGTTAGAGGCCAAAGCGTTGAAAACTGCCGTTTGAGTAGGTTACAAGGTGCCTCGTGTCATCAGTCCCCGTGGTTCCCTGTAGCGCCATCCGCAGGCACGTCGTGAAGCCATGCAGTGTGAGTTTACATGTTCTAGCAGCCACGTAACATGTTTTAAAAAGCTGACACTGAGTTAAATGTTTCATCCAATACATCCAAAATAATATCTTTATAAAAAATCACCCCCCCACTCCATCCCACCCCTGTCTTAGAAATGCAGTGTGTGTTTACAGCTGGGACACCTCAGTTAGACAGCTTCATTTCAAGTGCTGGATAGCCATGTGTGGTGACTGGCCCCTGCCCAGGGCAGCGTGACTGTCAGATCTCTCAGTGGTTGGCCCAGAGGTCATCAGCACCTCTACAGTCCCCTGTCCGTGCAGGCCCCCCCCCATCCACACAGCCCCCCATCCACAGCCTCCAGTTGGCCCAGAGGTCATCAGCACCTCTGCAGTCAGTCCCCTCCATGCAGCCCCACTCTGTCCACACAGCCCCCCCATCTGCAGCTTTACTTGAACTGGATCTCTAGTTGAGCCCGGCTTTGTGCTGGCTGTGATGTTCCCAGCAGAATCTATGTGTAGTCCTGACTCGGAGCCACAGTGTCTGGAATGAAGAGTCTTGTGCCCCACACTCCTACTGTTATGTGCTCCTTGGTGTCAATGTCTTCCAACATGTGGACCTGGTGGGTCAGTGGCCCTGTGATGTCACTGAATACAATCTTCTTTCACTTAGCAGTGGGGAGACTCGATCCACGGTCATGTTCCCCACACACTGAGACTGAGACCATCACATCACAGTGGTTCTTTTAGTATCTGGTTCCTGAGAACATGCACAGTGATGAAACGTGGCTGTGAGCTTAAGCCAGCTCTGTTAATCATAAGAGCATCTGCGTGCATTTGGAAAGTATATTATTGTGTAACCATAGAGTATACAGTATCTGTGAGAAATAAGTTAACGTTTAGTTATAATGAACTGTTACACGTGATAGTACTGTCCCACATCACTGAGATGACCTAATGGCAGTACGTACACAGCTAATTTCTCGACACCTTATGTAGCACCACATCACCGAGATGTGGGAAGGTTACTGGGACTTCTGAGAAAGTGGCCATGAGTGGTGGCTGATGAATGGTGGCTCGGGAGGGAGTCTGGCTTGAGTGCTTTCAGGGAAGTGTCTCTGAAGAAAGTTTTACTTCACGTGTCCATCACTTGTTTGAAACAGTAGTGTTAGGGTGTCCTGGGCAGCCCCTAGCTCTTGATGCTGATGAGCTTAGGATGAGCTGGGGTGCCCCCAGCTGAGCCGGCTCACGGACAGGGCGGCCCACACGACAACAGGGCAGGGCAGAGGCGGCCCACACGACAACAGAGCGCAGGGCAGAGGCGGCCCACACGACAACAGAGCGCAGGGCAGAGGCGGCCCACACGACAACAGGGCAGGACAGAGGCGGCCCACACGACAGCAGAGGCGGTCCACACGACACACCGCTGTCCGGTGGTCGGGCACGCGCAGTGGATGGTGTCACGCACACAGCAGCTGGCACAGTGTGGTACTGATGCTCACTGAGAATGCCATGGTTTACGTGGTAACGTATGTGTTTTCTCTCGCGGGTAAGTGCCTGCTATTTCAGAACTGACGGGATGCCTTTTATCCTGTTGGATGAGCTCAGAACGTCAGTTTTTATTTCTTCTGTACTTGGTGACGTGTCAGCAAGACTCATGATACCGCACCGCTGTTGTGGTGTTGTATCTTGTCCATCCGCTGTTTGCTGGTTGTCATGTCGCTCTTGTCCATCGGTATAGTGTGTTCGGGATGCGGCAGACATCCGCTCTGGTGTGGCTGTGGGATGGCTGGGGCCTCTTTGTTGGCCAGTCCCTGCAGGCATCAGTAGTCCTTTGATAAGTGAGCGCTGGGATTGAATGTGGGGAATGTGTGCGTCTCTGGGTGGCTGCTGGGTCAGCTCCACTCCCCCTGTGATGGGCTTGCTGTGGGAAGTGATAATCTGTCTCCCACAGTCTGTTTGCAGGGCATGATTCTAGTGCTGTTCCTTGCTCTGTCGACTGCTGAGTGTTGAATGACTATGGGACTGTTATGGCTCGAGGCCTTGTAGGCAGTTCTGTGCTGGTGGCGGTTTACTTGGAAGCTGCTTCACAGTGAGGCCTCTCTGAAGTTAGCAGGGTGCTGGTTTTATTGCTGCCCTTCCTCATGAGGTGGTCACATATTCTGATGCAAGCAGGCGCAACTTTTTGGGGATGACTGGCCTCTGCCCTGGGGACCAAGGACAGTCCAGCTGAATGGCACATGATAAGGGAGGCTTGTGGTTTCCAAAAGTCCCCGAGATCCTGAGAAACCGGTTGCTCATGGTAACGTCCACCTTGGTATACAGGTTCTCCTGTTTCATGTGAATTGTGGTCCTTCTGTATACGTAAGGTAGGGATGTGCTGTGACTAGCTGTGGAGAATGCTTTGTACGCATGCCATTGCTGCCACATGGTTTTGATTTACTGAGGTTTAATTGTAGAATGAAATGCAATAGTCGATGCTCTGTCTCCACTGACGGTCAGGTCAGATCTCTGCTCATTACACAGTGACACCTACATGGGGAAATATCAGTAGCTTATGATTAGTCTTTTTGAAAACGTTTCCTCCTTTTGCGTGGGTGGAAGCTTCTAAGTGTTCTTACTCTCCCCAATTACTAACCCTCCACACCAGCCTAAGTGGGAGGTAGCTTTGAGTCTTGAAATATTTCTTGGCTCTGAGCAAGATTGGCAGTGAAGGCAGGGCCCAGGTTATTTTAATGAGGGGCATGGGTGAGAGAGAGAGAGAGAGAGAGTGAGTACATATATACGTATGCATGGAGCTCTGGTGGTACAGTGGTGAGAGCATTTGGCTGTTAACCAAAAGGTCAGTGGTTGGAACCACCTGGCACTCCATGGAAGAAAGATGTGGTGGTCTGCTTCCATAGAGACTGGCAGCCTTGGAAACCCTGTAGGGCAGGTCTACTCTGGGGGTGCTTTGGGTCAGAAGCCACTCACCACAGTGGGTATGTACAGATGAGAATTATGTAAGCAGAGTCACGTGCCTGCTTTCATGAATGTCTTAGAAATGAGATATTGTTACATAAAACGGATGTGCCTGGGTGGGGGTTAACGTGTGTAGAACACTGTCTTCTACCAGGACCTTTGTCTCTGAAGTTGTTAATGTGAAATGATGTTGCAACTGGGACTTGACTGTTGATCCGTTTCCCTAGGCAAGAAATCATAGAGCAGCTGCTGTCAAACGTTTTCCACAAGGAGAGGAACGAGTCTGCCATCGTCAGTGCCATCCAGATCCTGCTGACATTGCTGGAGACCCGACGGCCAACGTAAGCCCGCCTCCCTCTGACCAGAGGTGCCATTGTGGTAGCTTCTGGATCTTCTGAACCTGCCCTTGAGTTTCAGGGCTGAAGAGTTCTCTCCTTGTATAAACTCTGACTTAGTCTTACATGCTTGTGAGACAGGGGCTGTGTTAGAACACCCAGTTTGGGGCACGTCCCCCTGTTACTCGGTGGTCGCATTTGTGCTCTTCGTTGGTGGGTTTCCCTGGCAGTTACGGAAGTGCTGCTTTCAGAAACAGACGTGGCTGGGGACTCGGGCACAAGAAGAGCTGTCTCTTGCTCACGAAAGTGGGAAATGGTGTTCCTGGGCGGCAGGTGGTGCTCCTCTGGGGGTTGTTCAGGGTCTGGGCCCTTTCCCCCTGCCTTCTCTGACAGACACTGACTTGGGTCGCCAGGTAGTTTTTCTGGCTTCGCATGTGCGGGCACTGCGGTTCGTGAGGCCGTTTTCACGTGGCCAGGCAATCTGTACTGTTTCAGAATCTGACACAGAGAACCAGCCACTTAATGTGTGTCATGTCACTCTGTACAGTTCCCGTCCAGTGCTAATTTACTGATGAACTTAGTCAGGGCTTTATAACTGTCCCTTGGAGCATGTAGACTTGAGGCGGTGTGTATATGTAGGCATCCAGGACTGTGTGGATTTATCGGTTAGAAGTGGGGTCTTCCCCCACTCTTCAGTCCATCCAGGTAGCAAGGACCTGATGGAGAGAATGGAAGAGATCTGCTCTTGACAGAATAGGAATGTTGGCCGTCCAGGGTCCCTGGATTTACTTTTAATCATGTCATTTTGATTCTACAAAATGGCAGACCCAGCCTCACCAGCCTCTGCTTGGCAGGTCCCCAACCTCTGCTCCAAGCTTGCATGATCTTTGGGCAGTGATGGACGGGCAGTGTGTGGCAGCCGCCTTCCAGGGTGTTGTGATTTGTGGATTGTGCCTTTGGGTTCCCTGGGAGATCATATTTTCAGGAGTGTGAGCAGTCATTGGGTGACTGCCCTGATCACAGGGGGACCCCGTTCCACACTCCGGACGGGAGGGTACTTGCACCGTCTCTTGCAACAGTTTTAAACCACAGTGAGTGGTGCCGAGGGTGCTGTGGACTAGTCTGATTTCAGAAGCAAGCGGGAGAGGGGAAAGCAGCGTCGCACGCTTGGAACAGCAGACAGCGAGAGAGCCCAGGTGGCGTTTCTGGGGCCCTTAAATCCCTTTGTGGTGAAACCTCAGCAGAGTAAGACTCGAGAAGTTGGAAACTGATGAAGGCAAAACAGCAGCAGCCCAGGGTCATTCATGGTGAAAGATGACATGCTCCCCCATGCGTCGGAGACGGCAGGCTGTTCCCCACCACCACTCCTGTCTGGTCTCAGGCTGGAGGCCCCATCTGGGGACATAAGGCAGGGGAGAAAGACAAGGTGTGCAGACTGGAAGGGAGGACATGCAGCCACTGTGCCCTTCTTACTATCACCCCTTGAGATTTGGAAGTCCCATGACTCCTGTGTGGGGTGGGTTGTAAGGAGCATCGGCAGAGCTTTGTAAGAAGAGTAACTGGAGCCTTATAAATAGGAAACAACACTGTTTTACTCAGTAAAGCTGTGGGAGCAAGTATTGGCCTGTTCATTATTACACTATTAACATCCCCAACTGGCAGGCAGTAAGATGGGCCTTACAATTCTGGGGTCAGGTCTCCTTCTGCTTGACACATGTTCTGGGCAGTTAGGGACTTGCTGTTAATGTAATAGTTAGAAGGACTTAGGAGGCCTGGGAGAGTGGGAAGAAATCACGCATCATTTCTCACCTGACAGTGTCAGCCTTTGAATTTCAGGTCATGTGGCTGGTGGAGGTTTTATTAAACCTCTTCTGGTTGATTACAGCCTCTTTGTACCCCTCCTCCTCGCAGACGGAAGTGTGTACGTAGTCAGTACGTACGTACCTAATTACTGTGTTTGTATCTGCACGGCTGATGTGGGGCGTCCTGCATGATGCACTCTGGGATCATAACCAGTAAACTTCATTTGCTTTGTTTCAAGATTCGAAGGCCACATAGAGATCTGCCCACCAGGCATGAGTCATTCAGCTTGTTTGGTCAGCAAGAGCGTTCTAGAAGCCATCAGAGGAAGACTTGGATCGTTTCATGAACTCCTGCTTGAGCCACCCAAGGTAGGAGTGCTGTCTTCAGCATGTACGGCCTGCCTCATCCCGTGGAAACAATTGTTGAATAGTCTGTGGCTCTTGGGAGTGACCGAACCAGTTGTGCCCACTGTGCAGACGGCCACGGCTTGTTTGGCTCACTTGATCCTGCCCAGTACTCAAGTTTGTCGAGTTTGTTTGCCTCTTTTCTCTGTATATGTTTTGCCTAAATTGATGAATGGGAGCTTCGGTGGCATAGTGCCTAAGGCATGTGACTGCTAACCAGAAGGCTTGTAGTTCAAACCCACCAGCCACTTCCGGAAGGAGGGTTGGGGGCAATCTACTTCTGTAGTGATATCACCTGGGAAACCTGAGGAGAGGTCGCTATGAGTCTGATCCAACTCCACGGCAGTGAATTTTTGAGTTAAATTGATGAACAGGGTAGAATTGAAATCAAGCAGAACCGTTACCTGCTTGGGAAGCTGAGCTGCTCGGCCTTTCCTTCTGTAGCCTCTTGGGTCACCTGTTTGTCAGTAAAGAGACTGCCTCCTTCCCTGCCATATTCTTTTCCCGTCTTTGAGGTCACGTTGCTTTCAGAAACTGATCTTTGAAGTCAAGTTTTCGTATTCAGAGTAGAAGCACTGTAACGGTCTGTTGGGTAGGTGCCTTGCTTCAGGAAGAGAGGGTTGATGCTGTGGGGTACAGCATGGGGAGGCTGTGACTTGGGGGGTTTGGTTTTGGTAGCAGAAAGTTTAGTTAGGTTAAGAGGCACTTCCTTTGGAACCCGTAGGGTGGAAAACCCAGTTGGGTGAGGGTTCTGCTCCCGCCTTCACTTCTTACACTTTCTGCTCTGTGTCCTTGGACCCAGGGTGCTGACCACTGTGCACAGACCTCTTTGGCTGTCTACTGGATGAGGTCGTGGGAATTTACGACACTGGCTTTTCTCATCTAGATTGTAGGTGTTTTTGTTTAAACCTTTTTTTGGGGGGAATGACACAGAATCACTTGAAAATACCCATAACCCGGTCCCACTCAGTTTCCAGGTTGTCTTTTAACCCTTTTGTGGCCCATGGGACGTATCTCATCCACCAGTACTTTCAGCCTGTCAGGTTTCTTGGGAAGCTCCTATCCCAGGTGTAGTATGTGCTGCTGTTTGGTAGGGTCCTGTATAACTGCATGAGTCTGAAGAAATGGGCCTCACCCCCCCAATCTACCATCAGAGTCCAATGGGAGACATGGGTCCCACGTAGTGGTCTTAGAATTCATACTATCTCAAAAACCAGTTTTCCCTCTTTAATTTCAGCATGCCTTGCATTACTGGAAACACATGGTTGTTGTTGTTGTTATATGCTTTCGAGTCGGATCTGACTCATAGCGACCCCTCTTTGGGTTTCTGAGGCAGTATCACTATGGAAGTAGATTGCCCAGCCTTCCTTCCGGGGAGTGGCTGGTGGGTTTGAACTGCCAGC